CGATTATGTTTAACCTTCGTTCCCTCCAGTTCTCCAGCAGGTGTCAATGCATTGCAAGGCTAACCAGGAAGCAACAAGAGGCAAGAGTCCTGCTATAATGATGCAGCAATGAGGTCTAATGAGGCTGAAAAGGCAGAGTGACTGGCTGGCAGGCAGACAGGCACTACACAGGCAGGGTGTGTGGAATGGGCTCCAGCTCACGGCAGATGTTACAGAGAGAGTAGCAGACAAAAGGGCAGAGAAACACAGAGAAACAAGTCCTGCGTCATTTGCAACATGCAGAGGAGAAGTAACTTTGAGCAAACATCAACAAAGTCAGACAGAGTTCACTCATGGCGTCAAAACTTCTCATGGCTAATGTTCTTGTGCATGTGCTTTCACTGAGTGGCAGGGATGATGTCGTCTGGGTTTGGTTTGCTTTTATATGGTCAAACTTTTGTTGGAAAATAATTTGGCAGTGGTAATTCTTGGTAACTGGTGTGAGAAGTTGGTCTAGATATGTTAAATGGACACTAATACTGTAATTATTTTTTTTATATTTTATATAAGTTGTGCTATTTTCTGGTCTATGCTATAATGTCATCACAAACATACCTGTTGTTGAGTTTGAGTTGAGTTTTGAGTGTTTTTTTCCATTCACACGTTTATCACATAAATCCTGCATATTTAGGCTGAGTTCGTCTCTCAAATTGAAAACACTCCATCACACTTTGTGATGTGATGTGGTAATACAAGAAGTGCTCCACTGTGTTTTCAAACTGCATAAACCTTAATTAGAATCAATTGGATGATTTTAGATGTGGAATTGCCAATCTCTACTGAACAAAAGGTAAAAGGTAGCAATTCATTTGAAAACTACTACTACATGACATCACAAGGTGGAACAGAGCATTTTGAGTTTTGGAGATAGAGTCAGATTAATAATAAGGGATTACTGTCAATTTGTGAATGAAACAAAACACAACTCTGGGTTTGTTTGTTTTTTTGTTTTTTGTTTTTGAGGAGGGAATAGCATTATAATGTGTCTTAAAGCTCACAAGAGTCAGTTTTGCATAGCCTTTATTGGAGCTTTATAGAAAACATTTATTTCACTTGAATTTCTTCTTTTTCACTTCTTCTTGAATCATTTTGGAGTGACGGATCTACACAGTTCACTATTTCTGATAACTCTACCCATCTTGATTTCACCAGATTGGCACAATATGATGATTGAGAGAATAGAAAGACAAACCCAGTTGCAGCATTTCATAAATTTTGAGCCCAAGAAGCAGAAAGACAATGCAGACCTCCATTAATCAAACAATAAACCTCAGCTGGAGAGATGAATGCATTCAAGTCTGCATTCAGTCCTCTTGTTACAGCCTCTGGTATGGAAATGTGCTTGGAAACAAAACAGCTGACCCACTTTTTTGCAGAAATTGGGCAACACACTGTGAGATTTTGTTTGAGACATATTGTCTTTGGATGAAAATTGTTTGAAACCGCATTGGCCATTGGAGAAGGAAATCCACCGTTTTATAGTGTAATCTTTTTACAACTCGCAAAGAACATGAAATATTGTCCGCTTTGCTCCAGTATAATATAAGCGTACTGTAGTTTATGATGTTCACAATACAAGCCAACACTAACAAACCACTACTCGTAAGTACAATTGTTAGATACAAAGATTTACACAAGATTTCTGGTAATTTGCTTTCCAAAACTACCAAATAGTAAATTATTTGAAGCCTGTCTGGACTAAAGGCTGTATATGAGAAACATTGGGTTGGTATTTTCTAAAGTACGACCAGTAGATCAATAGCAGACCCCGCAGCTGTTACCTGTGAATGCACACCTTTGATGCTGTTGCCAGTGTGTGTCTCAGCTTACATAATGCACACACACAAACGCACAAAAGTGTAAAAATAACCTCTAGGAACTACATTTATACATATAGCTGGTCTGTGTAGGAGGGAGTCATGTCACTGGTCTGTCTGCTGTTGGACACAAGTTAAAGGGCCTATATTATGCTATTTTCTGATCTATGTTATAAAGGCATTTCCTCATCAAAAACATACCTGATGTGTTTTGTTTCACTCATATGCACACTTAGGCTGAGTTCTGTTCTCAAACAGAAAATACTTTGTTCTACCTTGTGATGTCATGCAGTAATACAGGAAGTGCTCCACTGTGATTTTAAACTCCATACACCTTTACTACAATCATTTGGATGATTTCAGCCCTGGAATTGCCAATCGTTACTGAACTAAAAGTAAAATGTAGCTTGAAAACCACCACTTCATGACATAGAACAGAGCATTTTGAGCTTTGGAGATGTCGATAGACTAATAATAACGGATTACTCGAAACATGCAAGAAACAAAGCACAACTCCGGGTATGTTTTTGATGCGGTAACAGTGGCTAAAAGCTCACTAGAATCTATTTTGTGTAATATAGGACTTTTAATAATCATTATAATTAGAGCCCGACCGATATGGATTTTGCTGTGGCCGATATGAAACCAATATAATGGGAGTTGGAGCTGCCGATAGCCGATATATTTAGTGATGTAAAAATTCACTGTAAATGTTGAATTGTTTAAAAAACTTAGGTTTGGCTCTGGTGGATTTTAAATTGGGTTTATTTAGGCAACATTTATTGTTATTCTGCCTCTTTACATCATATTTACAGACAGTAGGTTGGTTTAATGGCATTTTTGCATCACATTCTAGACACTAGTGATGGGGATTCCAGTTCTTTTTAGAGAACCGGCTCTTTTGGCTCGGCTCACTAAAAGCTGCTGGTTCTTTTTGCTCCCAAGCGGCTCTTCAGATTGTTTTGTTGCAAGCAGGACTAAAGCACGTCTAAAGCAGGACTGAAAAAGGACTAAACCGGGACTTATTTATTTTATGCTAAACTACAGCCAAATATGCTCCTTTTTTTTATCCTATGCACACGCAAATTTCTCAAAGTTTCGTTTTCAGCCGCTGCCGCTGTCAAACTACCACGAGTCTGCACACGGCGTGAAGAGAAAAAAAGTGAGAGAAAGAGAAAACACGACTCCCAGTAAGGATCAGGCTCCCGTCGTTCGCTTCAAAGAGTCGGCTCTAAGAGTCATTTCGTTCGCGACCGACCCATAACTAGTAAAGAAACAATCGCTATTAGCCTTTAGCCGTAAATACGTGCGCGCCGCGGTAATTAATTATATGCGCAAATGTCATAATTCACACCTCTATTCACAGCTCATTTACATGTCAATGCAGGTCCAGTAGCAAATATACGGCCAATACAGTCACTTTACAATAGGCCAATAGAAAACAGTCTGTTTATGTGCGGGAGCTACAGCAGCTAACCCATAACTAATGACCAAAACTAGCTTCAAAGTCGACATATTTCCAACACTCACCGCTCACACAGGCTCCTCCTCACATCACAAGTCTGCACTAATAAATGTCCTTTTAATCCAGACTCAAACCGATTGTCCGTAAAAAGAAAATAATCTCAGTGTTGCGCACGGCTGCGGGTGTAAACAAACACACGTGAATGACACGACTCTGTGGTGTGTTCAGGGACAGTACGGACACACACAGACAAATGACTCCGTAGATAAATACTGATGCGGAGCCACATATTAGGACATTTATCTGTCTGTAAATTGGATTAAATGAACAGAATGTAGAGAGTCTAAGATTTTTAACGATGTATCACATGCCCGCGTGAAATATCGGCCCCTATCAGCAAGCATATCGGCCGATAGTCGATATGCCTCCAGGTGCCCATATCAGCCGATAATATCAGCCAACCGATATATCGGTCGGGCTCTAATTATAATAAGGGATCCTTAACAACAAATTACCATTAATTGATGAAACTTAAATTATTCTAATCATGATAGGTTTCAATGTGTAGAACACTCTCTCCTTGGGAAATGCACTTTTTTCTAGTTTGTGTCTTTATTTAATATCTTTTTTACAGTTACATTAGGGAAAGTCATAAAGTAAGTCAACAATCTAGCACAGACAATGTTGAACCTTTTCAAAATAAGCATAGCTGACTCTATAATGACCCTCACTATACAAACCCTATTCAAGCGTTCATAGAATGAAATAGAGAAGAGGCAATCAACCCATAAACCACTATTTCTTCAGTCAACCATGTGCTGAATGTATTGTTTTCACTGTGTTTATTCAGGCAAAAGTCGGAGCCATGCTGGTAAAGTAAACAATATTAAACAGATCACTGATTTGCACATAAAAACCCACCAGACATCTAAGACAGTACTCTGGAATACACAGTTGAAAGTCCATAGAATATATGTTGTGTTCAAAGTATCTTTTAAAATCAAGGATGTATTATTTTAAAAGTGAAAGGAAAAATTAGGATTTGCCCTATTCATGTTTTTAGTATCAGCACCATTGCCATAGAATGTAACCATTAACACTAAATATGATTTTTGAATGTTTAAATGCCCACAATTGTCACCTATAACTTTATATGAATATGCATATCTGCCATCCAGATTAAATCAATACACGAATAACAGCAGGAAATGAATGTGTTTTGTGAGTTTGAATGCACTGTAAATACTATAGATATATTTTGGCACAGAAATTACATAAATCAAAGTTGTTAATGCAGATGTATTCGAAGTGATATCTTTTTCCAGGGGCAAAGACGTTTTTCTGCTAACATCTTCTATAGATCCTGAGGGAGCTTTCTTGTTGCTTTAGGGGGTTTAAGCATTAACTTTCTTTTCATTAAACTCATCCGCACTGAGGAGATTGCCATAAATATAGCACAGGCATATGGCTGCATTAACCTTTAATGTATCCACTACCAAAATAGCTTAAATTGCATTTTATTCCTTCTTTGTTCAACCTTAAAAGTCACATCGCTCTCTTGGGTCTTTTGGGTACAATTAGGCATGACTGTATTTATATTGGCAATTATCTGGTTAAGTTTGTTTCTTTAAGGTTGAGCGCGACTATTTACCTTATTCCTATTTGTGTGTCTCCCATAGCAACAAGAGCAAGACCCCACAAACCTGTACATCTCAAACCTGCCTGTGTCCATGGATGAGCAGGAGCTGGAGAACATGCTGAAGCCTTTTGGTCATGTGATCTCTACGCGAATACTCCGAGACGCCAACGGTCTCAGCAGAGGGGTCGGCTTTGCAAGGTAAACTACACAGAGAATCACATAAGCATGTGTGGGAATAGAGATTAGACATTATAATAATTGTTTGATTATGGGCCAACAACATTTAAATCAAGCACTTGGGATTTAATATCCATTCATATTTTGTTAAATATCAGTAATAAGATCAGTTGCATGCATAAAATGTAACTGAAAAAAATGTCATAAATATTTTTATTCCGCTAATGTGGGTAATTTAGAGTCAAAATGTGCATGACTAAATATGAATAATTAACTGACAAGAGTCTCGTGTTAGAAATAAAGAAATACAAGTTTCTGTTAACTCCTTCTAGTTTGGTGAAAATAGGAGGGTTGCCTAAAACATAAAGATAATGCCAAGCCTACACACAAATCACTGCATATTTACGTATTTTTAATCTCCCATCCGTCCTATTATCATAACACAGCTGTTTAAAGCTCTATCTCAGTGCACAAAACAGTTTAAAAATAAGTGACCAACTCCCATAGAGGCTGCCCTTTACATTTTAGTTACCAAAATAGTCTCGTCCCGGCGGTCATACTCAGCCAGACTTTAACCTGTAATAAAAGCGTTCCACATTGCTGTACCCTTGGCCTGCTTTTTCTGCTCGGTTGGTGTGGTCCTCTCAGTTACAGCTGAGTGTGCCAGTGATTAGGATGCAGGGCTGCTACATTCAGGGTCACTGCTTGTGTTAGGAGAGCACCCAGACCCACACGCCTCCTCCACAAAGCCTCCGTCCTGTCACCATTTGTCTCTCCAACACACGCATTCGCCGGCTTCTCCCGCGCCAAGCAGGCAATTAGTCATTGAGCTGTGATTGGGCGAGCAGAGCTGAATAGGGGGCAGACAAAGAGGACATGACACGCAACACTTCGGACTGAATGAGGCTTTTAAATAAGGACAAAGCAAAACGGAAACACCATAGAAAAAAAAAACACAACACACTACCTAAGACATTTATTTCCTTACACGTACACAGATTTGCTCAATGTGTAAACAGGATGGCAAGGGATGAGATATACAAATTTAGCATATCAGCACATACAGGCACTTATTCATATATATCTCACTTCCTCTTTCTCTGCGATAGGATGGAGTCGACGGAGAAGTGCGATGTGGTGATTCAGAATTTCAATGGGAAATTCCTGAAAACTCCTCCAGGCATGACAGGTGGGTGTTGATCTGAGAAACAGCACTCGGAGTTGGCTGTACTGAGTTTTATAGATAGATGTGTAAGATCCTGTAAAAGTAAAGTTTTGGCTCTTTTCATTGCTAAGTGCTATACTACAGTAATTAGATCAGATTGTTGCAACGTGTTGGTGTAGAGTTCACTATTGTTGGATTTCAGATGGCGTCACAACATTCTATAGGCCAATAATGTTTAATACAGATGGGATAGATAGAAAGAAAACTGTTAAAATTCAGTTTTTTGTCATAGTGTAGCAAAGTTTGGTTGCTAGTCACATAAAGGTGCACTGTGCAACTTTTCTGGTCCCTGGAGATGTTATTACTTTGCCTGGAATGTTCCATGATATGACTTTAAGCATACACATCTGGCATTTATTCATTAAGGGTGTTTCTATTGCTCAAAACTACAAAAATAAACTGTGCATAGGGGTGTGAACAGAGATCTGACTTGTAATTTAGTATAGAGCTGTAACCTGCTTGTCTTCCTTGTGATGTAGTTTTTTGTAGTGTGCCAAGATTGGAGTAGTAGAGGGTTGAATCATGGCTGCTATTAATTAGTTGCAGCTCATTTTTTAACTATATTGTACATTTAAAAAGTGTTTCCTTGGATAATGTTACTTATGGGTAATTATGTCAGTGGTAGTTGAGTAGTTTCCATTTTATCGTTTATTGTGAAATTATCTGCAGCAATATATCACACTTCAAATATATTTAGTGTGACTGGCCTAATTGTTAGGCTGTGAATGTAACTAATGCTTTTACTGACTATAATACATTCAGACCTGCAGTGCCAGGCTAATGTAGTAGGTGGAGTATATGCCCTCTTTGATGTAACAGTAATAGGATGTGATGTTGCCTGGTTGCTTGTGGTTTCTGGTGCTGAGAACATATGGTTTGCTTCATGTACTGCCTGCAGAGTGGACCGACAAGCCCCTTTTCTCTATTACATTGTGGTTTCATGAATATTACCTCGGGCCAATATTGTTATGCCATTGAAATTAAATATGCTATGCATTCGAGGCTAGTATATGGTCTGACCACAGGATCTTTAGGTCACAGAGAAATTACAGTAAGTATTCAGTGGTGTTAGAAAATATATGAGATACTGTGCCTTGTATTGCCTTGTATCAGAACATTTAAATAAAGCATGTTTATCAGATAGAGCCCCATTACGTGTGTCTCTGCTGCATACTGAAAATAGTGTGACTAATATCTCATCCGCTCCATCAATATTGCTCTTCCGTCTCCTGCCCCGTCTTAGACAACCTTGTGTTGATTTAGAGGGAAGATCCGAGTGATTAATTCCTTAACCAAACAAGACGCAGACTGACAAAAACACACATGTACGCGACACAGACAGACGTTTCCCCATAGCAAACAATCTGCTACACAATGTCCCGCCAAAAGTCAAGTTAGGTTTTTTTTTCTGCAGAAAAGGAACAGATAGTAGGGCCATATGAATTTATTATTTTAGTAATCCTGCAGGGCAGTACTGTGGCACAGCGGTTAGTGCTCTCGTCTCAAAGCAAGAAGTTCAATGCCTGGGCAGAGTGGGGCCTGTCTGTGGAGTTTGCATGTTCTCTCTGTGCTGGCATGGGTTTCTTCTACTGTTAAAAACATGTACAGGCTCCCCTCTGGAGCAAGGACTCCCCTTAAAATTATATTCCAAATGTCAGTGAGATTTTCCTGGTTAAATAAAGAATTGATGTTAAAATGTTAAAATATACTTTATTGTCAACTGTTGAGGAGATTGTGGATTTTCTGTGTAGGAGTAACTTGATTTGCCTTTTATAATATGCAGTGAAAGTGTATTTTTTTTATTGCCATTTAGAAGTAACAATTGTTACAATTAAAATATATTATATGGCATGTAGATTGTTTTGTCAAATGTGACTCCAGATATTGAGAATTGCGCTACCCCCAAAAAAATGGTACAAGCAAACACACAAGGCAAGTTGTGTGTCTATGGGAGAGAGACAGTGCCTGGTGTGGTCGCAAAAAATGACTGAACAAAACAAGGACAGGGCTGGAGAGAAGAGAGAGAGCTGAGCAGGGGACTAGCAGACTCAAAGTGACAGAATGGTAAAGCAGCAATGGAGATACAGAGCTATCAGATAGAGACTTAGAGAAAAGGAATGGAGCGAGAGAGGGAAAATAGAAAATCAAGGACAGACAGAGCAGGCCCAGTGTCCCCGCAGTATAATTTGGAAGATACAGCACTGTGGATTGTCTCATACGCATACACACATTTAGGCAGCAGAGTGAAACTGACAACTTTAAAAATAAGAACTTTAAGCAACATAATACAACCTTTGGTTTTATGTTTTATTTGATAATATCGCAGTATATGGATTATCTTAGGAGATATTAGCAAAAAAAGTGAATACATACATCTCACAGTTAATGTCACTCTGTTATATTCAAACAGTGACTCTCTGTATGCTATATATACTAACAGTAAAAAAATGTCTTTGAAATTGAAATTGAATTAATCAAAAATAAATAACATGTGTCTGAGTGGATGGCTTTTTAGTGATACAGATATGTGGTGTGTTGTTTGGGTTCCACTGTGACTGAACGTTCTGTGAAAAGGTCCAGCTGATTTATCCTCTGTCTTTCTGTGTCAATGCCTGTCCTGCTGTTGCTATCACATGTTACAACTTAGAACAAGAGTTGGCCTCAAAAAATTTAAGAAATAGGCTGTAAATGGCTGTAAAAATGTTATCTCTCGGTGGTGTGCTGGTACTGTGCAGGTTTCCCTGATTGGTCTGTCCATCCGCTCTGATGTATTGGCAGGAAACAGTAATATTTCACCCTCTGGCTGTGAGATTAATGTGTGCATTGATCACATGACCGGGCCTTCCATCAGCTCTCGTTAAGAGGAAGCCCATTGATCGACAGTGCGGTGACTTCTGCCTCTCGCCGTGGTTCCTTTCATAGAAATAGGTTACTACGATGGGGCATTGACTTGGACCGTTTTTAATATTGAGTGGTAAAAGTGCTGATCAGTTTAAAATATTAAGGATGTTGGTGTTAAAGTGCAGAAAGAGAATTACTTGTCCAGTTTTTGTTGTGTTTTGTAGGGCTATCCCTGTAATACAGTATTTATATATTTAGAAAAATGAATTTAGAAAATACACCAAAAATTGCTACGTATTTTTTTGATAGTGTAGTTTCAAATTATTTAATTAAGACAATTGTCATTACAAATATATTCAATGGATGTAGCGATACTGGTATAGAAACTGAAACATGAAACTGGTTGGGCCTTTACCAGGATGTGATTAGACAATTTACAGACTGGTCTTAGCCTAGAACATTTCATAGTGTTTTAACTTTTGTTAATACAAAGCTGTTCAGCAGTTATTTGAATTATAAGTAAACATTGTATGACACAATTGGATCTCTTGTGTGCTGTTATCCATCCCTACACTGGTACTGGTTCATATTGGGTATTGGCAGTTAATAGTCAAAGTATCGATATCGGTATTGGAAATGAAAAGCTAGATCAGTGCATCCCTAATTCAATTATTTCTCATTGTCAATGATATGATATATAATTATAGATTGGGTTTAGCAGTAAAATCATGTGATTTGGAGCTGAGTTTAGGATGAAGAAATGTGACAGCGATGATTAAAGTCTGTAGTTTTATGTTCACTTGAATCAAAACTTGTGATCGATCAATATCAGAAAACGAATGGGCAAATGAAGGAGATACAGTTTATGATACATAGAGGAATACTTTGGTGCTGACAGCAAGGGATATGGTGTAGGAATGTGGAAAGAATTCTGTGTCCTCCTGGATATATTTTACTCATACGGCTTCAGAATCCTGTAATGTTACCAACAGATTGTCTTAAGATTGACTACTTTGCATTAGTCAGTAGTTCCTGTACAGTGGGAGCTGTCTTGTACATCCCGCCCAGTCAGTTGTAAATAAAAAGCTTGCTGTGTCTTTGACTATAGACTGTAATTCTGACGCTCAGTTGCTTGTTGTTCGATTTCGTCCTGGCTTCCTGCTGTGAAGCGCGGAGTCGGTGCCAGTAGGAAGCCCTCCCTATCCACTCGTAAAGAGCTCATTTTCCATGGAATCACTATCTGTGTGTCACATTTTGTCAAGGGCTGTTATTTTTGCATTCACGTTTACTCAGCACGTATCGAGGTAAACAAACAGACAAAACTGATGGAAATTTACACTTGGGAGAAAACAGTTCTGATGCTGTATTTTAGATGGATTTTATTCTTATTGTCACTTTTTCTTCTACCAGATTGTTTTAGACATCACAAGCATAAAAATAAAGCATCCAGATTAGTTGTGAGACCAGTGTCACATCAATCTCTTGATCTCGCTCTGAACTGATAAAATCTAATGATATGCATGAAGGATTAAAAATATGGAGTATGATAATAAATAATTTTAGTTTAGTTTTACTGAATTATTTTCTCTTGAGACATTTTATATTTTGGTAACCCATTACCACAGTGATCCAGGGAGTGTATCCAATTCCTAGTCTCCACCGCACTCCTGACCTTTCTATAATGTATGGCTAAAGAGCAACAGAGGCTTAGTGCGCACACTGTGACGTAACCATTGCACTTTGTATAGTGTCACCATGCAGCTTAGATTTCACTTTTTGTAACACCCAGCCCTTTCTTAGAAGGACAAATTATCACATTAGTCATTGCAGTGATTGTGTAGAAATAATGAATACATTTTTAATCTGTTAGTGAACTTTCTGGAGTCTCCTCTGTTATTTATCATCTACTTTTCTCTGTTACTAATAATTATAATTCATGCATTCAGATTTCAAGACACCCAAAGCGCTTTACAGTGCATTTTTCATTCACTACACACTCTGTGGTATAAGGTACTATTGTAGCCACAGCTGCCTTGGGGTAGATTGACACAAGTAGTTCAGCCAATCTGTGTTATTGGCTTCTCCAACCACTTCCAAACTCATTAACTTACCACATTCAAACT